CGTCCCCGCCCGCCTCGGCGCCGCCCTCACCACCACCGACCTGCGCCGCCGGCCCTTTGAGCTGCTCGTCGCCCTTGACGCCGCCGGCCGCGCCCGCGGCGAGCTGTACCTCGACGACGGCGTCTCCCTCGACCAGCGCGCCCGCCACTCCCTCGTCACCTTTGCCTTTGACGCCGCGTCCGCCCGCCTCGAGGTCGGCGGCGTCTTCGACTACCCCGGCCCTCCTGCGCGCGTGAGCAAAGTCACCCTCCTGGGGTCCGAGGGCCGCGACCCCGCGCCCGCCCAGACGCACGCCCTCGGGGGGTCTCGCGTCTACAGCCGCTCGTTCGACGTCGACTGGACGCTGGACAGGGCTGCCACGTACACCGTTGGCAAGTGAATCCAATGTTAGTTTCCGAGTAAACCTAGCTCAAGACTAGAGAGATGAGTCGGTTCAAGTAAAATACAAATATTACTTAATTTTCAATTGTTTCGCTCTGTAGTCAAATGAAATTACACGCATGATACAAGTATCGTGCAAGCGTAAAATCTAAAACAGTATTGGGCTGTACCGGGCCAAAGACAGTAAATACAAATATAGTACTTGACGTGAATGTTTACATCCGTCTGCGTCGTGGGGCAAGGATGCAATTCCATCCGCGCCATTGCCATTTTGCGTCTTTTCGTAGCTCAGAATCGACATGCACAATGCACACCGCTTTCGACGCTCACTTCAGAGTCTAGACATGGATTCGCTACTTCCAACTGCCACTCCTATTGTACATCACGATTCCCTTTTCCTGCATCGCAACACCAGCCATACCGTCCACGACTCTTGCATATTCCTGCCTGGCCTTCTTGCTCAAAATAAAAAATGCGCTACAAGTCGTCGTAAAAATGCAAAACAACAAAATAAACGCCTCCCCACCCCCGTCGACTTTTTGCTTGACGCCCACGATCAAAACAAGGCTCCAACGCAGCAAATCACCAGCCCAAACAGCAACAAGTGAATATTTTGTTTTCCCCAACCCCCATACATGTCATGTTGTATAAAAGTAATAAATGAGTCGTGGCTTCGTAACATCGTTATCCCGTTTTCGACATGGATTTTTTTTTTCTTTGTCGTCGGCGCTTTCGAATATCCGTCACACCAAGCCGAGCATACCCTACGCCACGGCAGCCTGGCTGGTATCGACCTCGCCACCACCCGGCTTCGAATCCGCCATCAATGTGTCCTCCAGCTGCGATGAATCCGTGGTAAACGACATCATCACCGAGTCCTTACGATCTGCCACTGGCCCCGAA